AGCTATAGGGACATGAGGGGGCTATGGGGACATGAGGGGGCTATGGGGACAGGAGAGGAGCTATAGGGACTTGAGGGGCTATGGGGACATGAGAGGCTACGGGGACAGGAGGGGGCTATGGTATTGGAGGTCCATCTTGAGAATGGGTGATTTGGTGGCAAGAACATGGAGGAAGGAGAAGCTGAATGCCCAGGACTACATCCTTGGTTGCCTGTGGAGTTCAGAGCCCTGAACTTGGAAGGGCTGATACACTGTTACGCTCTCACAACCACAACAGTGAGAAGCAAGTTCTGTAGTCAGCAGTTGAGGTCAGGTCCCTGGGATGTGAGCCAGACTGTGCTGGGCCCCACAGCTAGGCCTGGGCCCTCTGTGCCACGGTTAGTGTCGCGGAAAGCACAGTCCTGGCTGGGAGTGAAGAGCCAGTCTGGATACGGGATTTTGCTGCTTGTAGCGCTTTGACCCAGAGTGGCTTCAGCACTAAAGGAAATGAGTGGCCCGTAGAACCGAAAAGCCAGGGGTAGGACGGCAGGCACAGCGGGCTCAAGGGCGGAAACAAAGGCAGTTGGAACCCACTTTTACTGTCTCTAAGCTCTTCTTTCCTCTACGGAGCCTTCCCTCTGGAACACCCCCCCCCCCCCACCCTGGGATGGGGGCAAAGGTAGCCACCAGCAGCTCCAGGCTTCTGCTCTATCTACTTGGCAACTTCAGTGAAAATAAAATAATCTCTTGCTCCCAATAGCTCCAGCATAAGTCCTTGACCTGACCCTCATTGGTGGGGCATGGGTCAGGCCCAGTGACTGGCCCAGAGGCAGGGACTCCCTGATGGACCCAGCTTAGGTAATATTCCATTCCTGGGGTTGGGCATGGGGTCAGTCCTACCCAAACCACAGGGACTGACTTGGGGGCAACTTGATCGTGCAAAGGACAATCAGGGTGCCCTTCCTGGAAGAAGGAGAATGAATGCTGAGCAGGCAAGGACAGCAGATGCCACAGAGAACACCTTTGTGGAAATGGTCTCAGAGCATTTCAGAGATGCTGCCCAGCAGTCCAGCCTTTGAGATTCGTCCCTTCAAATCAGGAAGGGCAAGGCCAATTCTGGGAAGCCGCCACACTTGTGTTCAGGAAGCTGCTGCATGCCAGGCTCTGGGCTGGGTACCGGAAGACAGATGAGAAGGACCCAACCTGTATCCTCTGAGTTCAGAGGAGAGAAACACATGTCCAGCTGAACTCAGCAGTAGGGCCTCTGCAGGAGGAAACAAGGGATGCTGTGGGGGAGGAACCTTCGTATCTGGGGAACTGGGCTTTGGAGGATGAGTAGGAGTTCATCAGGAAAAAGAGGGCAGGGGTCGGGGAGGGAAATCTAGACCAGGGGACAGAATGATAAGAAAGAAAGGACCTTGTGTCTGGGGAAGCAGGGAGGCTGGGAGTGGTGGCAGAGGGGGGCAGCAGGGAGGCTGGGAGTGGTGGGCAGACATGGGTGGTGAACAGGAGGAGTAATTTGATCAGGGCCGAGTTTTAGAAAAGGCACTCGGTGGGCGGGTGGAGGATTCCTGCTCTCCTCTCTGGGCTGTGGATAGTCGAGCCTCCCAGAGCTCTGCTTCCTAACACCTCTCGACCTGGAGGTACTAACACTGTCTCTCTTTCTCTTTAACCCTCTGCCTGTCCGTCTGTCTTGCCATCTCGTCTTCCCCCACCTAACCCCTTTCCCTTAAGGATCGCTGACAAAGCATTCTACCAGCAGCCAGATGCTGATATCATCGGCTACGTGTACGTGTGTCTCTGCTCCTCTGTCTGGAGGAGCTGGAGAGGGCGAGGCCCCTGTGTGTGGCTGGCACAGTTTCTTGAGTCTCCTGCTTGTGGGGTACAAGAGTGCGGCTGGGCGAGGGCAGGGAGAAGGCTATGACCAGAGCAGGGGTGAATCCCCAATCAGCGCAGCACCTCCACCACTCCAGCAAATGCTTATGGAGGTCTTTTCTGCATGGAGGTGACTTTGCTAAATCCAGGCAGAGAAAAGAAAAGAATGCACTGGCCATGCCCGGGTGGGAGGGGCGAGCGGCAAAGCCGCCAAACTCCTTCCCAAAGAGATGCCTCTTTGGGGTGAGAGGGAGGGTGCAGAGGTCTTCTGTTGAACGAAGCAAACATTGAGTGCCAGTTTCTGTAGGTCCAAAAAGAGAGCTAGGAGCACACCTATCCCCTTCTGCTACCCCCAAGTGCACTGCTCCTCCTTAGAGCTTCTACCCAAGTTGGTACTGTGACTAATCTAGACCAGAGATGGTAGAGGTTCCCTCTCATGTCACCTCAGTTGGTTGACAGCGACACCTAGAGTTGTGTTGGGGATTGTAAAGCTGAAGGGAAAAATACAGTGATGAGTTTGTGAGGTCAGCCAAGTACTGGCTGCTCTGTGTGCCGGCCACACCCTTGGCAGGCCTGTGGCTAACTCTTCTCTCACAGTGCCCAGGGCACCCCAGGGTGACAGCCTTTCGCTCCTACCTTCCGTCCACTCTCCCGGCTGTCCAGTCCTCATGGGTACTTACCCAGTGCCAGTCTCTGGTCAGACCGGAGTGTATGGTAATAAGAGCTGCGTGGAAGGACACACAACACTCTGGAAGCCACCTTCTGCTGTGGGAGCCGGGGCAGGCTTCAGAGATGCAGGACCTTCAATTGGACCATAAAGTGGGAGGAGGAATGAATGGATGGGGAGGGGAAGATGAGGGGAAGGACATCTTAGGTGGAAGAAGTTGCTTGGGCAAAGGTGATGAGATAGGACATACCTAGTGGCCTGGTGGCTGTAGATGGTGGAGGTGGGGGCGTGTGGAGAAGGTCAGCTCGCGGCCAGCTGCAGAAATGCCTGTTGTGCCAGGCCAAGAAGCTTGGACTTGATCCTGAAGGCAGCAGGGGGCCATAGGAGAGTTCCAGCAGGAGGGTGGGGATGGCAGAGGGACATGGGTGCTGGGGGTCGTTAGTGCTCCTGTTTCACCCCAGAAAATGGCCCAAGGATCATACAAAGGAGTCCCGAAGAGGGAGAGTGCAGACCAGCATTTCCCAGACTTCCATGTGCCTGTGAGACACCAGAGGGTCCTGTTAAAATGAGGATTCTAATTCAGTAGGACTGAGGCCATGATTCTGCATTCCCCACAAGCTCCATGGTGGGGCCCGTCAGCAAGACCACCCACCACACTGAGCTGCAAGTTTAGTGGGAGCCTCTTGACCCAAAGGACAGCTGCTAGGAAAGCTTCCCTCAGCCCCCTGGATACCCAGCTCTGCACAGCAGTCAACCTCTTCCCAAGCTTGCACTCACCTGCCATCTGCTTAGATCCTCAGCCACTCGGATCACTAGGTGGAGGCTCCGATCCTCACTTTACAGGTTAGGTAACGAGCACACAGCACATGCAGTAGGGAGGGCCAGCTCACCCTTGGCACGGCCGTGTGGACCAACTGGAGAGCTCCCCACCATCCGCCAGTGCCTGGTCACGCATGGTTGGGCTCGATAGCCAATCAGGACAAAGACCCAGCCCTTTCACCTAAGAATCCTTTAATGTCTTTCTCTTAATAATGCCCACATTTAGGTTTTGTCCACTGATCAGTACTGACTACACTTTGCCTCTCCATTGTTCCTTCATCAGTGGCTTTCATACCTGTCAGCTAGAACTGAAGAAGCCACCAGTTGTCACCCTAACTGGACTCTAACCAAAAGCTAAGACTTAAATGAATGGAGCAGTCCTCATGCCATGGCTCCATAGATATTCCGGGCTAAAAAGAGCTCTGCCATCAAACATGCTGGGGAGACGGTGGATTCTATCGCCATCACTTTCCCACTGATGCACGTTAGCACATGCAAGGCTTTGAAAGCCTGGCTTTGAAGGTCCCCTTTCACTGAGTTTTCTATGAGTGGTTGACCACAACGCTTCTCTGGAGAACACACAGAGTCCACAGAACATGGAGGCAATGCTGAACCAGGCACTCCAATTAGTTATCTAGTTAATGTCCTGTCTCTGCCAAGTTATTGGAAACATTGAAAATGGCTGAGGTACCACATTGGTTCCTCCACGGCCATTAGGTGCCAGGAGCCCCAGTGGGGAACTCTTGATGGAGAGGCAACGACCAGAGAGCGCGAGGGTGGGGCAGGGGTGGAGGAGGTCCAGGAGGAAACTTTAGCTAGGGTGGCCGGGGCAGACCTCTCTGAGGAGGCGAGGCCTGCTCTCAGTCCCAAACTAGGTTTCCTCTGATGCCAAGGCTGTTCCTGGGGCCCAAGGTCAGAGGGCGCAGGGCCGGGGAGGAGACCTCTGGATAAAGTACCCCAGAGCCGGCTGGGCAAAGCAGCCTTGCTCATTGTGGGGAAAGCAGCACTGGTTCGGGGGGGAAAGGCAGGCAGCTCTGAGACCTCTGTCCTATCTCCACCTGCAGGGCATCCGAGGAGGCTTTCGTGAAGGAGTCCAAGGAGGAAACCCCAGGCACAGAGTGGGAGAAAGTGGCCCAGCTGTGTGACTTCAACCCCAAGAGCAGCAAACAGTGCAAAGACGTGTCCCGCCTGCGCTCTGTGCTCATGTCCCTGAAGCAGACACCGCTGTCCCGCTAGGTGCTGCCACAGGCACGGCCACAGCACGGGCAGGGGCAGGGCAGAGGAGCTGCTTCGGGCAGGAGGGTGGGAGGCCTCCGGCAGCTGCTCCACACAGCCTCCTCCCTTCCTCCCCATCTCCCAGGGCTGGGAAGGGAGCACTCGCCCCTCTCACCCTCGTTCCCTCTTAAGTCCCAGCCTCTCACACCGCCTCTAAGTCCACAAAATTGTGACTGTCCCTCTGATGTACTTTTTTCTTGACTTAAAGGGTGTGTTGTTAATTCTTTTTACACTTATTTTTTTTTTACCATTCTCATTTTTCTGGAAGCCACAAAGGGTGTCAGGGTTCCGTTTGGGCTTAGAACTTTCCCAGCACGGCCTTGAGAGATGAGGCTATTCCCTTGGAAATCCAGCAGCCTCCAGCTTGAAGTGGGTGTCCCTAGCTGCCTGTCTGCTGCCTCCACTCCCAGGAAGAAAGACCACCTCTCACAGAATGCTTTGCAGCCTTGATCCTTCCGGATCCTTGAACAAGCCTGTGAGATAAGGCTCTGTTCTCATCAGCCACAGACCCAGAGGGGAAGGGGCGTGAAGCAGGAGGGAGGCCAGACCAGAGGTTCCCGTGGAGGCTAAGCCAGGCTGAGGCTGGTGAAGGTTGCCTCCGCCAAACCCCCTTCCTTGTGATTGGCTGGGGCCCGCTTCACAGGGCGGCCCACCGCGCACCCTCTGTGGATTTGGGATGAAAATCATGGACCACACCTTCTTCCTCTTCAGCAGAGGCTGCAAACAGGTTACATTCAAAATATTGGGACCGATTCAGGTATTTTTTAAGGAGGAGGCAACCCGGTCCCTCCCTGCAACATGGGTAATAGCTCCTCCTCAAACTCGACTGTCTTAGAATGAATTGTCTTCCTCTAACTCACAATAGAAAATAATACAGGCCAGTGTCATTTGGCTTGCTGGTTAAAGGAAAAAAACGGGCCCTGGGATCTATAAAAGTGGCTGGGAATGAAGCTGGTTAATTGTACTGAAAGGGTTTGGGGCCTGTTGCTGCTAGCAGAGGAGGGGCTGATATCCCCTTCCAGTGCACTCCCTTGGGAGAGGCCTGACTGCTGCTCTGTCACAGGAGACGGATACGATGGCAGGAGCCTGGTACCCAACCCACTGCCACAGGAGCGCTTTGTAATGTGCAGGGCGTGTTTCCCCTTGGCCCCTCATAGTCCCAGATTGCAATAAATGTGACTCTTTAATTCAAAAAAAGAAAAGAAAAAAAGAAACAAAATATTGGGACCTGCATAGTGTTCTAAATGGTTTAATTGACAGCTATATGTCTCCTAGAACCATCATAACAGAGTCTGACTTGAAATAACAGAGATTGTCTCACTCTTCTGAGGCCAGAAATCTGAATCAGTGTCAGCAGGGCCAGGTCCCTCCGCCAGCACCAGGGGAGGATGTGTTTCAGCCTCTCTTCCGGCTTCTGGCTGCCTCAGGTGTTCCTTGGCTGGTAGATGCACCCGTCTAATCCCGAGTTCATCTTCACATGGCCTGTCCTCTGTGTGCGTCTTTGTCCAAACTTCCTCTTTTTATAAGGACACAGTCATATGGATTAGGGCCCACCTTAGCCTCATTTTAATTTGGTTACCTCTGTAAACACCCTATTTCCAAATAAGGTCACATGTGAGGTGCTGGGGTTAGGACTTCAATGTATCTTTTTTTAAAATTAGTTTATTTATTTTTTGGTTAATCCTCCCCTGAGGATATTGTTCCATTGATTTTTAGAGAGTGGAAGGGAGAGAAACAGATACATGGAAGTGAGACCAACACATCATTGGTGTCTCCCACACACAGCCCAGCAGGGTTGACCCTGCAACCAAGGTACATGTCCTTGACTGGATGCGACCCTTCAGTCCAAGCTGATGTTCTACCCGCTGAGCCACACGGTCAAGGGCTCAATGCATCTTTTTGGAGGGATACAATAATGCCTGCAGTTGCCATCCCCTTTAGGAGTGCCATCTTCCTCACCAATCCCTGTCTGCTCCTTGAACCTTGAGGCCCAGGGACACCACATGGACTGCTCTACATGCATCACCTCTGCCTTCCGGGGAGAGACCAGGGTGGGGGGCGAGCGGGTTAGCCGGCCCTGCTCACACGCCTCCGTTTAGAAATCAAGGCTGTGTTGGGCTCAAGAAGTGGACGCGTCTTCACTTCCCCTTATCCCTCCAGCAGCCTGCAGCCTGCAGCTGCAGCTGGTGCTGATGGAGCACATGAAAGAAACCTGGTCGGAATCCACACGTTAGAGCTGCCCCCAGCCCAGGAGCACCCGCGTGAGGTGCACATGAGAGCAGAAGTCAGGGCGCTGCCTCTCCTGCTTGCTCAGGGCCCAGTGTTCCCTTCTTCCTTCCCTCGGGGCCAGGCACGCCCGGGCGGGGTCAGAGCGATGAGATCGCTGCAATCGGCTCCCTTCCACCAGCGGGCGCTCTCCGGGAGTCTCCTGCTGTTCGATGCCGCAGAGCCACGCAGGGGTCCGGGTGAGCGGAGTCTCCGGTGCTCTCACTCCAGTGCTCCCGGGGTGGGAGTGCGTGAGCAGCAGCAGCAGCAGGGAGGCCAGGCCCAAGCCCTGCCCCCGACAGCACGTGACAAGCCTCATCTGAGGGCAGGTTTTCTACGGAAAAGCTCGGAAATTGTGGAAAGATTCCCCATCCTCTCTCCCTCCCCACAAATATTACCTCTCCGGAATCTCTACTTTTCTAAGGGCCCCTGCAGGCTTTCGGTTTTTTTCTCCTAAAATCTTGAGGATGAGATTGAGAATGAATTCATAAAACTACAAGTGAATGAGTTTATTCAGTAGGAAGTGGAGAAAGTGCGGCAGAAATTGAAGTATGCAATACCCAAACCGAACCGAACCAGATTCCAGAAACAAGTATCAATTGGCCGCTTCCTCCCCCACGGGCCCGGCGCTGGCCGGGGGAGAGGAGGGAAGGAGTTCCGTGGCAGGGCCCCTGGCTGCTCCGGGGCTGGGGCTCATCTCCGCGCGGCTTTCCGGGCTCAGGGTCTAGACTTCAGCGCGGAGACCGCCAGTCCCGCCAGGATGGCTGCCACCGTGAAGCCCTGGGCGGCGATCCGGGTGCGCATCATGAGCTGGGAGCGCTGGCTCTGACCCCGGTGGAAGCAGTAGAGGCCGTAGGTCAGGGCGGCCGCCGTGCCCAGGCAGCCTGAGGGTACAAAGCAGGTGGGGGTGGCAGGCCCGGCCCCAAAGGCCCCTCCCCGCTTTGGACCTTCGGTCTCGGAGTTGAGGTCTCAGAACCAGAGCGGGGCGGGGGGAGAGGCTGGAGGGGTTGGTTCCGGCAGGGTCCCCGGAGTTACTGAGCCCGCCCCCTCGAATCCCGCCCGGCTCCTGCGCCAATCAGGTTCACCACCGCCCGGCCTCTTCGCCACATCTCCGGCCCCTTCTCGTTCCGGTGTCCCCCTGGCGTCCCCGGTCCTTCACTATTTCATTTCCCCCGAGAGCTCTGTCCTCTCCATCTACAGTTCCTTCTGTACCCGCTTACCTATGGGTACCATTGGGTTCTCGCGAGTCTTGCGAAGGAACTTTTCCTTGAAGCTTTCCGGATTGCTATAGACACTGGGGTTAAAACCCTCAATAACTGGGGGCTGCGATGGTTCAAAGGGTGCCTCCGGAGTCATGGGGCCAGGAGTCGCCATGTCTGGGGTAACGGCGGCTGGAGAAAATGAGGACACTATACCCCGCCTCCCGATGAAGTCATGAAAGGGGGCGGAGGAAAGGACTTTACTGAGCGTTGTACGCAGGCGTATCTGCTCATTGCATTCTGGGAGCCGTAGTAACCAGCATGGTATCGCTCTCGGGGAGGACTACATTTCCCAGAAAGCCTGCGAAGCCCTGCGCGTGCCTGCTGGAAGGAGTCCCCTACACGAAGTACTGGAAGTGAAGGCGTGGAGTCTGAGTTGCAGGTGCGGTGGTCAGCGGGATGCTCAAAGGCGAAGGGGAAGACCCGGAGGCAGAAGTTCGGTTATAGTGTTAACCGGAGCGTCTTAACCGAAATGCTAGACGGATGGCAGCGCCACGGATCGGGTAGTGAGGCAGCCGGGGTTCAGGAAACGGGGCCTGCCCTTGACTGAGACTTCCTAGTGCCTGGATTTATGGCAAGGCGGGGTATGTTACTACAGATGAAACCCCCATGGAATCAAAACGTCTCCCTTCCTCCCCTCCCTCCCTCTTCGCTTCCTTCCTTTCTCACTCCCTCTCTGGGGAAGGAACTGCCTCCCAGAGGCTTAAATTTATATTATTCTGGGGGCTCTAGGAAAAGCAAGAAACAGCAGGTTTCAGAGTGGGTGGTTTGTTTGAATACATTGTATATATAATTAAAAAAAAGCTATTTTACTCCTCTGATGGTTTTGTATTTTCCCCTCCCAAGCAGGGGGTGGGGGTGGGCACTGGGCGTTTTCTTAGTCTTGATAGCTTGTCCACAGCTAAACAAAAATCCTCTTATTCCTGTTTTATTTCTAGAAGTCACTGCTGTTGGAAAGAAGAGCTTAGTGTTTTTACATAGATCCTTTCACATAAAACCCACAGAGGTCTGTAGTTTTCTCTTCCTCTTACAGATAAGAACAGGCTTGAGAGGTGTTAATGGGGGGTTTATAGTCAAGTCTTTCCAACAAGTAAGCCTAGGCTTTCACTTAATGTCCCTCCCCTTGGCTCCTGAAGGCAGCCCATCCATTCCACACCATCAGGACACTAGGCTGGAACTAGGCCGTCCCAGAAAGCCCTCCCCTATTGGACTCTGCCTCCGTAGACTTCAGCACAGCCTCCAGGATGTAGTCTGCAGCCGAGCTCCTGAGGGCCTTTGTTTTTGGCCTTGTAACTTTGATCCTTCATAGCATCCCAAATTCAGGCCTTTGACTAGGCTGTCCCCTTACCTTGTTTCTTTACCCAGTTCAGGTGCCAATTTTAGGAAGCTTTCCTTACCACTACTTCCTGCTCCCAGGCTGTGGAAGTGTCCTGTAGTCCCAGTGCCCCAGATTTCCTGTTAACAATCCGATTACAGCCATAACTGCCTTTTAATCTGCTTGACATCCCCTACCAGACTGCATGAGTGCAGGGACTTTGCCCAGAAATCCTGAGCCTGGCCCAAGGCAGATGCTGGGGGAATACATGGAGAATGACCGACTGCGTGGCCCTTTGGGCACACAGAGTTCTGAGATTTTTATTAGCACCTCTCTGCGGAGGACCTGAAGGCTGTGTCTGACTGTCTTCATTCCCTCACCAGTCCT